ACAGCCGTTCAGAACCAGTCTCTCCAGCCTGTTCGTCTTGTATATCGTTTCGGCGACCTCGAGATTGTCGAATCCTCTAACCTCTCCCGCTCTCAAATCCTTCAACCTCGGACACCCTTCGATGACTGCCTTGATGCCTCTTGCGTCCATGTGTACGCACCATGACACGTTGAACATCTCCAGCTGCGGACATGACTCGGCAATAATTTTGCACGACATGTTGGTAACCGCTGTCAAACCAGTCAAATTGAGCTGAGCGAGCTTATCGTTCGTTCTCAACAGACTGTGTAACGTGTTCCGCTGGAAGTTGCGGCATCCCTCGAGCGTCGCGTTGACCAAGTTCTTGCAGGCCTTGACGACTACCTCGGCCCTCTTGTAGTGTTCGACCTGAACGCAGCCCCTGAGGTTGAGGTCCTTAATGAAGGGTCCAGCGGCCACGATGATTCTTGCGAGGGATTCGGCAGGGATGATTTGGTAGAATTCGGTGGCGTCAAAAGACGTCCAAAGTTGTCCATCGAAGCAGATCTTGTGGAAAGTCTTGCTAACTCGTGAGGCTCGTACAAGCTGTTTGGGGGATAGGTAGGAGAAGATGTGCACACGCATCTCGTGTGGCATATTCTCCCAGAAGTTGAAGCCACGCTTGGGGACCGCGGGGTTGGCGACCTGGGCTTTATTCGTCGTCCTTAAATCGGATGGGAGTCCAATAGTTTGGGAACCGGGGGACTGCGTAGTAGGGAAGACATTGTCGACACGGCGAATAGCAAGTCGGCCATCGATGCCTACGAACTGAATGATTTCGCTAGATGGTGTTCCTGGAACGGAAGAGGAGGCACTGGCATAGCCTGATGCTGTTGCGCCTGCGGGGAAATAAGAGTCGCCAGTGAATGAGGTCCCCGCGGTCGAGGGTCCTGCCAAGCTCACGCAGGAAACATTCCCCCTCGGACGTTGAGGATTGCTATATGATCTAGTGCGGCTACTCCTCGCCAAAGAAGGCGAGGACGACATTCGTTGCACACCACAGAGCACGCGGTGTCGACCTTTGGCTTTGCCTGAGGGGTTTGAAAGGCCTGAGCCTTGCTCATCAACGACTTCCATAGGAGCCGGACCGGCGGGGATTTCGATGTCAGCCATAGCGAAGACTTGACCAAGTGGGATAGCTGGTTGAAGGACAAAACGCCTCTAGACAAGGAGCAGAAGACGTCGAATAATGCTGTCAATTTTTCGCCACAGTCAGACTGCGACTGAGTCCGTTTGCTCAAAGTTGCGCGGTTTCTCCCAGTATTGTCTTTGTTAGAGAGGTTAGGTAGCGCGGTGCAGTGAAGCTGAGCTCGGTGGTCCACGTCTTAGACCCGGTGAGTTGAGAAAAGGCTCGGAACGGTCGGCGGATGGTCTTATTTCATATTCGGCGTCGCAAAAGAGAACCGCAGGCACACAGAGAAACAGATTAAAAGACAAACCAAGTCTCTAGGAAGATGGATAAGACATGAAGCGCGAGTAATCGGGGAGGAGTTATGGTCTTGAAGGCTTTCGGCTCTCTTAGAGGGGGGGGTCAGGATGGAGGGGTGGCCAGGGTCCAGGGATTTTTGGTGGAGATCTGCTATCTGAACGGGTGTGAGCCGGCTATCGATAATGGAGGTCAGCCGGTGCAGGTAGCGGGGTGTGGAGCCTCAGAGGGCTGGAGAAAGGGGACCTTACGGGTTGGGGCGGAGCACATGGCACACTGAAGACTCAAGATATCATGGCCTCTGATTCCTGTGTGGTAGGTCACACGAGCAGGATGTGTCTGGGACACAAGCAAGGCTGCGAAGAGCGAGAGAGAGGATGGTGAGAGGGTGGCAGTGGAAGAAGAAGAGAAGAGGTCGGCGGATGGAGGGGCTAAAAGAGAAAGAGCAAAAAAAAAAGTTGTCGAGTCGAGCGGAAACAAAACCACTCACACTTGGAACAACCGACACAATACTGTGGTAGACCGCACCGAAGGCCGGGTAAGGGAAGTAAGTAGAAGCTTAAAACGCGCTCTGGACGGAAGCACAAAACGGCCCTCACACCCCCCATCCCATCCCACCATCCATCCCCTTTGTGTCGGCGAAACAAGGACCCTCCTTATCCATGGGCACCAATGGGTCCTGGGTTCGCCATACAAAACGCCCATCACCCACACCAACGGGTCAGTCTGACGGTCGACAATGTCAATAAATGCCTCCAGGGCCCTGGCGATATTGTCGTGCCTGTGTCTCTCTACCTTGCCTTGTACATTCAGCAAGTTAGGAAGCAGTTAAGGCTGTTCGGGATTTCGGATGCTTGTAGACAAGACTTGGGAAACAAAGTCCCGCCGAAACGGATGGAGCTGGCTGGGATATTCTCACCTGCCTTTCTAGCCGGATCCAATAGCTCTGTATAGCTGGGGGAAAGGCATGGCGGCGGGAAAGAGTCTGGAAGCAGAAGCCACCGCCAGTACAAGCAAAGAGGCACAGTGAGGGCCAGACCAGAGGAGGCAAAAAAAAGAGGCAAGACATGGGATCTCAGAGAATAGAAGTCGACAGTAGCGGCCGAAACGCAAGAAAGATACCTCTGCCGTGAGGTATCCACATGGTGCATCGTGCGGGGCCCGTGGTCCGGCGCAAAGAGCGGGCAGGTGGGGGAAGGGCGAGGGGGGAAAGAGGAGGGGTCCGCCCGGAGTGCAGACAGGCAAGACAGGAAAGCCCTCTCCTTCCTTCCATCAATGCTTCCCTCTCCAATCGTTGCGGCTGCTGGTGAATAAAAATGGATCACAGAAGATCCAGGCTCCACTTCTTACAGCCATTCAGACCGCTGCTGACTGACACCGCACTTGCCCCCCCAAGACCCCCAAAGAGACGGGAGCGAGAGCATGACATGAGCACTTGCCCAAGTCACCTTCTTCCTTTTCGTGGCACCATCACTATCCCTTATCCCGCCATTTCTTCAGTCAAATGACGTGCAATCCGACGAGACAGATTCCTAGAAGCAATCTATCTGCCTTATCGACATTGTCAGGTCATGGTACGTCAGGTTGAACACGGCTCGTCGACCATTCCTCAACCACGCTCCGAAGAAGACATTCCATGTCCTGCTGCATTCAGCAACTTATCGCAGGGTCCTCCTCCGCCTCTTGAGGTCTGCAATAAGCAGGGACCTGAACACCAGACCTGCAGGACGAATCCTGAGCGGTACCCAACAGTCCCTAGCTCGCTAGCGTGTTGGCTGGACCCTTGAACTCTTGAACGCACTTGGTGTGGTGTATCCAAACCGACTAGCAAGTTGCAGCACGGCACCGCCGTTTCTATCATCGCTTATTGGAGGAACTTGCCTCTCACTTCTCCAACCGCCATCGTCCTCGCCGGGGCGTTCAAGGCGCCTTTCCGCTCACTGTCTGCACGGCCGCGGCGCCGTCTCTCGAGCCTGTCAGAGCATTTCTCACTGTCTGTCCTGGGACCACATGCGTTGCGGATACCTTTGTCTCTTCTCCATCTGAAGTCGTCGTTGTTGGGAACAAGTTGCCGATTGTCCGACTCGGGGAAACACTCACACTCGAAACTGGCGGGAACGAACTGACTCGCCAACATACAAGGCCGATCAAGGTACGGATATGCCAAGCTCAGAATTGGCAAGACGTTTGGTTTCTGATCGATATCGGTCAAGGAGCATGTCGTTGAGTACGAGGCAAGCTCCTGTGTCGGTTGCTGCTCTGTGATGCCTTTCCTCGCGCCGACGCTGACATGCGGCATGTCTTTGGTGTCCCAGCCTCCCCACAGACGGCATTCGACCCGACGTTTGCTTGTCGGAGGAGAATGCAATTTTGGCGGCCGAAACCCACCTTTTTCTTTTTCTCTCTCTTTGCCATGGCCGCATCCGAACAACCCTGAACGGGGAACATTCTCTGGAACCCAAACTCGAAGGTTTTGGCGGGGCTAACACTCCCGCTCCACGTTTACGAGAGACACGGTGACAATCGAATCCGTCTTCAGAATCCTTTCTTTCTGAAGATCCTCGCCACAGCTCTTTCGTGGACTCCAGCCTCCAGGAGAGCTGTGGGGCTGCTTGGGCTGCAAGCGCTGCGAATCTTCCGCCGTGATCGGTCCGGATTCTGACCCGTCAGTAGGACCAGCATTGTTCGTCTGAAGCTTGGCCGAAGCTGACATCGCCGTACTTTGTTTGAAAGGCGCATGTTCTTCCTTGCGGCCGGTCGATTTTGCAGTCTTGGCAGGGTCGCGACTTTTTTTTTTTAGCAGATCTGCATCCAGATCCGTCATGGCAATCTGACACTACGATCCTTAACACGTTCACGAGTTTTCCACGCCCTGGCCCCGTTTTGTCAATGTAGCGACTCTAGCACCACTAGACACACATTCCCTTGGTCGCCTGATACTGTTCAACCCGAAATCGGGATTCTGCGTACCGTCATGACATATCATGCGACCCGGGTACGAGATAAGAACGTAGCAAGCCGTGAGCCACGCGACACCTCGCCACGGACTCTGGCTATCTACACCAAGATCATAAAGCATGCTCTACCGCAGAGAGAATGCTCTCCTCATGCTGGGCTCTTGTCTTGGTATCCTCCCCAAGATACGACTCTACCGCTCATTGACTCATTGCCCAGTGGCCTCTATTGTGTAGTCTGGTGACCCGGCTGTCTCAAGCCTAATCTGTACAAGAGCTACACTTTGTGACAGATCGACAGTGTACAAGCTACGCAATTCGCGCATTTGTCGAAATAGTAGAAGAATACTTCGTTATCTTGGATGCGACAGAGAAAAGTCGCATATGTTCGCTCATGCCCGGATAGCGAGTGCCACAGCTTTGATGCAGAACCCGAGCCATAGATCGGTTGTGCACTTACTTTCTCAGCTTACCTTACCTCGGGACGAAGGGAATGTTTTACTACTAGCTGCTGTGGTCAATATAAACCACGTGCTGCTTATGTACCTTAGGTACGATTGCTGATAGCTTCCGATAAGATAACAGGCACGCTTGTGTTTCGGCCCGACCATCAGAGTTACCAGAGCCTAGGTACGGACGACGGGGTAGAGAAGCTCATGGTTACCAAGTACTATGTTCCGGTAACTTGGTTACAACGGGAAACGACCTCGAACCCTGCTAATATCTTGGCAGATAATGCCAGCTGGCTCACTTGATTTCCGACTCTCCCGCGGCGTCGTCAACGTTGTGTAAACTTGTTGGTGGTAGATGCGAGACCGAGAAGAAGACAAAAGAAAGTCGCTGTGCTGTCACAGCAAACTTGACGGGATTGAAGTTCTTCGTTTTTAGCTAACGAAAACGCCAAATGCGGGGTTGCCGGCAAGCCTGGAAAGCGACCATGTCGCCGGAATTTTCGTCGTTGCTCGCCTATAGTGCCAATCATGATTAAGTGAAACGATAGCCTGCCTGAAGTCATGAGAGGCACCACGAGTTGCCGTCACGATTCCAGCAATACTACTTTTGCAACTGACATCATCCAACCATTCACGATTATGGCCGCTGTTGTATCTTGAGCCGACTTTCCGCAAAGACGGAAGTACGGCTCAAGCATACACCCAAAGGTAAAGAGGTGAAGGGCACTGATGAGGCGCAGCTTATTTATTGACTCTAGGATCCTCATGATCCGCATGGCCGCCAATGCTTTCCTTACCGGTTTTGCTTAGAGGTGGGTAAGCAAGATCTGACAACTTCAGGCAGGACCGTCAACAGTCTAGTCGCTTCGAGGATCTGTAACGGCCTTGGCGTTCCGGCCATTTTCAATTCGAACCGATGGTGTTGATGAAGAGGCCCTTAGATAGCTTTATTGGAGAACGCGCCGCCCTATGCTTGATATGTAAAGCAAGGCAGACGACAACTTGGGTCTGGGCAATTGACGGGTTGCGTTGTCACTTATGCGTCGCCTTGGAAAAGATATCCACAGGGATCTGCCCCGTTGTTTTCGTGGTTGGTGGGCGGACGACGGAATGTTTGTTTTCTTCGTCTAGCAGCTATTAGCTGGCTTATCGATCCCTTGCCCGTCCGTCCTCGCGTCTTGATTCTAGCGGTTGGGCAGGAGAAGAGCGTCGATAGCGTTTGTTTCGGATGGCGAGTAGAGTAAGTCGTATGTGTAGGGTCTACGGATAAGAGGCATTGCCCAATGAGTATCAAGCATGTTTGGGAAGCGTTGGGCGGCGGGCCAATCTGGGCGATGATGGCTTGACAGCGGCTTCGGTCAGGCATTTTGTCACGGGCCTTGGCTGCGGCGATGTGACGTATCCCGGGGATATGCTGTTCCTTTCTTCGCTGGTGTTCTCCCCGGGAGATTGGGGCCGCTCAATATCGGCGTGGTGGGTCCACCGCCAGTCCAGCTGAAGAGCTTTGCTGCTTCACGTGCATGTTCCCGCCAGGTCTGCTTCAGGTGAGGTGGTGGATAAAATGAGTGAGTGAGTGAATGTGTGATGAGAGTGAGCTTCAGCATGAAGTGAGGAGTGAGCTACAGCTTGATGAATGCGAGTGGCATGGGCTTCAGGTGTGCCCCCTCACTTTGCAGCCATCTTTCGCAGGGCCACTGCCGCATGTTAAGCCCCCCAATCAGTGATGCGTTTGCTTTTCGACGCTGTAAGTCAAGCTTGCAACTCATGTTGTGCGCCCACCAAAGCTGCAAATGACTGCGCAAGGTTCGGAATTTGAGGGTCAGGTTTTTTTTTTACATAGAGAGGAGACGAAAGTCTCATGAGGCTACTTGACACACAAGATGTGCGGTGCAGTGTAAGATAAGGTGAGATAGAGAGAAATACGCAGATTTGGCTGCAAAAAGTTGTGTACTCCGTACGCAGGTGCATCTCAAAATTTTCGATGACTGGAGGCAGAAAGTGGACTTGTGTTTTTTCCCTCCCCCGCCCTCTCTTCCTATCCCTCAGTCTCTATGGTTTTCCACCCCTCGTCCCCTTTCCCTCAACTTATTTCCCTTTTACTTGTTCATCAAACACACTCATCCTAAAGCAAATCATCTCAAATTGACAACGAGTGAGCTTGTGCTGCCCTCTGTCAGTCGTCCTTTCCCTCGCCTTCATCGCCCGCCAGCTCCGCCGCCCACGCCGCTCCTTCGTCCGTGACGTGCCACCACCCACTGTTACCTCCAAGGCCCTCCGGCATCATTGGATTCGCTTGACGAGTGGGAATTTTCCAAGCATTCGAAGGACCGCCCCTCACTTTCCGGACAAGCATCTGCCGCAACAGTGTGGACTTCTGACTGAATCGCCCAGGACCGTGGACAGCCACAGAAACCCCCCAGGGCTTTCTGTCACTTTTCGAGCCTGTTGTCTTAGGTCATCTTGGATGATTACGGCAGACGATTCTTTCACGAGGCCAGCCGCACGTGGGTGTTAAAGCCAGTCACTCGCCTTGCCTTGCCTTGCCTTGCCTTGCCTTACCTTGGAGACGGAGGACCACTCGCTTCTCTACGCCCCTCCCGCCCGTCCTCCTCTGCCTGACTCTCTGTCTTGTTGCGCTTGCCAACGGCACAGAATCAGAGTGGGATTTCGAGTGATTCAGGGAAGAGCCAAGAGACGCATAGAGAAAGGGTAAAACAGATTGGCCCCAAGGCAGCCCAGCAGCACCTAGCATTCACTCTGCACTCTATCCGTACTACCTACAGCACTCCAGAGTCCAGAGTCGGGTGTCCAGCAACCACCAAGCAGGGACATCCGGTTGCGGCATTGACACCGGCACTGACACTGGCATTAGCATTCTGGCATTGGCGCGCTGGCACTGAGGTGGCACTAGCACGGGACGGCGAGACGACTCACGTTCCCTTTCCTGGCCGTTCGGTGAGTTGAATTGGACCGGACTGGACCACCGCCAGAGCAGGTCCGCATCTTTGCTTCCTGCTCCTGCTCCTGCTGCTCCGTCTGTCTACTACTGCCGGATTTGTTGCTACTTGCTTGCAATTTGCTTGCTCTACGGATACCTTCCCGTACCGTACCGCACACCTGACTGGTGCCACAACTGCTTTGCTGCTTGCTACACGGACCAGCTTCTTCAGCTTCACTCCTCACCTACAATCTCTCTCTATCTCTCCCCGACCGCTTGTTGCTGGATCATTCCATCAATCCTTCCTGAAAAGCCTCCCTCCGTCGTTCGCCTTGCTCAATTCTGGTCGGACCACCAGCACTGCAGCACCAGCGCCAACGCCAGCACCACCAGCAACCAGAGCAGAAAAACAAAACGTTCCTTACCGCACACCCACCCGTCGAAATCTCCCACACTCTTATCCTTGTGGCAAACCTTGCCCACCGAACCTGATCGATCTACCTAACTTACCTCACCACTGATTGACTCCCTGCCTTACCTTACCTGCCCGAGGTATCTTCTGGGCAGCAGTTCCATCCGCACCTCATTTACCTCCCACCTTAGCCGGAACAGCCACTGTCGTACAGCAGCACCATACCTTACCTACCTTGCCTTTCGGCCAGCAATACACCTACCTACCGCCGGTACTGCCATTCGCTCTCTCCCACCACCACGTCCAAGAGCAGACGAGACCGCACCCCGATACCTCCCAGAACGAATCTCGCTCCTCGACCCCGCCGAATCCGAGCCTGCATCGTCGAATCCGCCTCCTGCCCGCATTTACTTAACCCTGACATTTGTCCGAGTCGACTGCCTATCTTTCTTCAACTATGCTACAGACGCATGGGGGACCTCACAACAATGGTACGTTCTTCGGCCACCCAATACAGAGCCCGCCTCTCGCCTCTCTCGCCTTCCACCCACGAGATGTTCCTCCCTCTCTAACCCAGACCTTTCCATGGTTCGCAGGCACCGATTCACATCACGAAGAACCTCGCGGAAGGAGCAGAACCCCGACAACACAGCTGCAGCTCCCCAAGAACCGAAGCACCGGAAACCTCGCCGTTATAACCGACGACAACAACACTGGTCGCGGCCGAATGCGGTTTTCGTTCGATGCTGGATCTGTCGCAGAGGGCAGCGATCATGTGCCACCAAGGTTGGTTCTTTGCCCAGAATTATACCGTGATATTCCTTGAATGGCAAAGCTATTGAGCCGAGTGCGAGCTCACAGAAGAGTTGGGCATTGGAGGTTGCCAAGGCAAGCGTCTCGGCAACGAAATAGAGGGACCTCTCATGTTTGGGATGCGCCTGGCCCGCGTGGGCGCATCACGGCATTGCCCATACCAAATGCCATTTCCAAGTGGGAGTCAAGTGGGAAACCAACTGAGATGTGGTATTTCGGCAAAGGAGGCAGCAACAATTCGAGTGTGGTTTTGCTTGGCGACAAGCTCGAAGGATGTCACTCACGAGTGCGGCTGCACCACTTAAGATGTCACCAGGTGGCAACTGGGCCATCACATGGCAATCCATAGTCATTTGAGGCATCATCGTGCTGACAGGTCTTTTTCCAGTCATAGATCCTCCATTGTAACAGACCATGACCATGGCCTCGGTCTATCCGGATTGCGACGAATCCGACAACAACCGTCTTCGCGAGCTCCCTCCGCAGCCCCTTCCAGAAGCTCCTCCATCGGTCTATCGAGGTCAACATCTATGACAACACTACTCGCAAACCCTCCCGGCATGCCGTTTAGCTCCCATCCATCGTCGCCTAACTTCTCCGAAGACCTCTCCCGCTTCCCCTCCGAGTCATTACATTCCTTCTCTTTTGCCCACCAGTCCGAGGAGTATATACACAACCGGCAAAATGTCCTCAAGCGATCCATAGAATTCATGAAAGACCGGATGGGATGGTCCGTTTCACCCTCCAACGTTGCGCTTGCGAGCGCCCAGGCAAGGGCCTCTGGGGACGTCGAGACCCAGAACATGCTGGATTTGTTGGCTAGGGCACAACTTGTCGGAGCGGGCAACCTTCCATCCATGGATCAGTCCATCCTCGGTCCTTTGACAGGGCCTCCGCAAGTTTCGGGGGAGAATCTCTTTGAGGCGAACTTCATTCCTCGAACATCAAGCCCTGAACCCTTCCAGTCTCCCAGCCAATCTCCCACTACGACCCAATTTGCAACATTTCCCCCGAACGACCGACCGTCAATAAAGCAGCAAGATGAAAATCCGAAAGTCTCCACGGGCGACAGTGAATCGGAAAACTCGAGCAGGACGCCGACGAACGAGAGTGGAACAACTGCAAAGACATCCCCGCCGCCGTCCCGACGACTGAGCCTGAAGCGAACGCTCACAGATACACTCCCGGTCTCGGTCCATCAGCAGCTTATCGACACAATGGCACAGCCCTATCTGGCAGCTCAAGAGATGCTAGCTTCACCAACAACCGCGAACATGCCAAGTGCACTAGGACCGGCCGTGCATGGACACTCGACACGGTGGGTTCCAGCAGCGCAGGCCATTTTCACAACAGAGTCAAAACCGCCATGGACGATTATCGCGGCCAACGACCTTGCTTGCTTGGTTTTCGGAGTTACAAAGGCAGAAGTGCGGCGGATGGGTATTCTAGAGGTCGTTCAAGAGGAGCGGAGAGATTGGTTGGAGAAGAAACTACTGCAAATGGACCCTGAAGACACGATCAAAGAGGCGGAAGATATTCCGAAAACAGTTACGCCTGCACCAACGGTATCTGCTGCTTCGACGACGTCAACGTCACTTCTGGGCGGACGAGGTGGGATTACGGCACAGCTCTTGAGCAAACCGAACTCCAGGTCACAGCCCCCGAAAGTGGTCACTCGCAAGGCTCAAACCGTCCACAGCGGAGACCCCAGTCCGCCCAAACTCAGGGGAAGCTCACGTCACCAAAGCAGTCGCTCGAGAGGCGTCCTTCTGTGCGGTGACGTGGTTCCAATCCAGAAACGAAACGGTGCGACAGGCTCCGCAAGCTTGTGGGTAAAAGAGAAGCGGGTTGGTCTCATTTGGGTCCTTGAGGAAATTCACGAAGACGTGGCCCAGATTGAGCTCGACGACGACGGCATTGTCCAGAAAATTTCAGGAGCCACAGCGCCGATTTGGGGCTTTGAGTCACTGAGACCTGGCGTGGATATCGGCAAGCTGATCCCACGCATTCCTCGGCAAGGCATCGACCCTCGCACTGGCGAAGTAGACTTTGCGCAGATTGCGAGGCGTAAGTTTTTCACATGCCCAAACCCAAGCAAAGTCAACATTCCCTGCAGTGTCGAGCAAGTACGGGGCAAGACAGAGCTACGCGTCTCGAGCTTCCCGCACATTGCAGGGATCATCGTCGTGGACCCAGAGACTCTGAAGATTCAAAGCTCAAATTCGGTCTTCTGCGGTGCTCTGTTTGGCTACGAAAAGCCCGACGGCATGGCCATTGACTCATTGGTACCCGACTTTGAAAAGATACTCCATATTCTGACAGAAGAGGATGGTGTTCAACTGCAGGATGGCATTGTGGTGCCAGAGCACAGCTTCCGCCGGGCGTCGGCGATTCTTGGTCTTCGAGAGAATCGCCCCGATGCGGCTGCGAGTTTCTTGCGGCCGGACGGGGTACCCGGAAAGCACAGGGATGGGTCAGAGCTCAAGGTTGACGTGCAGATGCGGGTGGTCAGAAGCGCAAAACAATCCACCGTAATCCAAGAGACTGTCATCGAGGACGAGGACGAAGACAAGGACGGGGACAACCAGGACGACTCTTTCTCTGTCACTCACTCAGAAATGGTCTTCGCTCTCTGGATTACTTACTCCAGGCACATGCACGCCGCCCGGTCGACGCTCGGTGTGACGTCGGCGTCCGCCTCTGGAACGACAACTCCCTTGCATCAGCCATCTCCTGGGCAGACACCGGCGCACACCCCACTGGAGATTAGCTCGGATTCCGACGAGCCAAAACCTCGAGAGTCTTCGTCGTCGGCGGCATCTGCCATCACCAAACAACTCAAGGAAGTCGCGATGACGGCCGCCGCAAAGTTGACCGGCTCACAACGTCCCACGGACAAGAAGCAGGAAAAACCATCCGTGCCAAAGGTTATTGAGCCAGCGCAGCAGAAAAAGTCGATCGATGATTTCCAGATCCTCGAAGACATGGGTCAGGGCGCTTACGGCCAGGTCAAATTGGCCAAGGACAAGAAGACGCAAAAGAAGGTGGTTCTCAAGTACGTGACCAAGCGACGTATCCTTGTAGACACGTGGACGAGAGATCGCAAGCTCGGCACAGTGCCTCTGGAGATTCACGTTCTTGACTACCTGCGCCGGCCCGATCTGCAACATCCTAATATTGTCGAAATGGAATCCTTCTTCGAGGACGAGGTCAATTACTACATCGAGATGGTGCCTCATGGATTACCGGGCATGGATCTATTCGACTATATTGAGCTCCGCAGCAACATGGAGGAGGCTGAGTGCCGTAGTATTTTCGTCCAGGTTGCCAAGGCTATTGGCCATCTGCACACCAAGGCACTGGTGGTCCATAGAGACATCAAGGACGAGAATGTGGTCTTGGACGGCGAGGGCAACATCAAGTTGATTGACTTTGGAAGTGCAGCGTATATCAAGAACGGCCCCTTTGACGTATTTGTGGGCACTATTGGTAGGTCTTAAAGCTTCCACTATATCGTGATTGAAACTGACCGGTTAGATTACGCTGCTCCCGAGGTACTCGCTGGCAAGCCATACGGTGGCAAGGAGCAAGATGTTTGGGCGCTCGGAATCTTGCTCTACACGATAATCTATAAGGAGAACCCGTTCTACAGCATTGACGAGATCATGGACCGAGACCTTCGAGTCCCGTGGACGATGAGCGACGAGAGCATTGACCTGGTGCGGTGCATGCTCAACCGGGACGTGGCTGCCAGATATGACATCAACCAGGTTCTCGCGCACCCTTGGTGTCAGGAGGTCGACGAGGAGTGAAGGACGCAAACGAATTGACGATAGGGGGGGAAGAGATATGAAGGTCGGGTGGAAAGGGGCTGGCCGTACGGTACGGCCATGGAGCAGAATTTGGTCAAGATACCCTAAAGAGCAATCTTGAACAGCACGGCTTTTCGTTCTGAGGCGGAGCCGAATGTGCTTAGAGAGAGAGCCATCTGATGCAACAAGACGAATTTTTCTTTCTAGCTTTTTTTGGTTGTTGTTTTTCTTGATCCGGGTCCATGTGACGACTCTTGAGGGGGAAAAGTCAAAACAAGGACCACCGACCCCACCCTCGGTCATGGGTCTACATGGAGCTCCGGTGTGGTCTGGGGGCAAATTTCAGCGCAAAGCACAGAGAGCTTATAGAAAGATACTACCTTTGGCTTGGGGGCCTGGACTGGGGAAACGGAGAGAACGGCGTTATGTATAGGGAATACAAAGTATGCTTTTTCGTTCGTAATACCTTGAGAATGTCGGTGTGTTTGGGAGAGCGGATGATGTGTGCCTATCAGTCAGGCTTATGACTTTGACTTTGGTTCGTGTGTCGATTGCCTTAGGATGTGGATGAAGCTTGGAGGAGGCGTGGTGGTGGTAGCTGTGTGACTTGATGCCGGTATGCGTGTAATCCCCAGAAGGCTTGTGAGGGCTACCGGGTGTATCTGAATCCTTTCTCGTGGGGCCCAGGCACAACTTCACGTGTTGTATATATATCCTCCCGGTTCTTGAGACGTGTTCTGGCGGTTCAAGCGGGAATGTGGAGCTTCGCTTTGTGTATACCTGGATGAGTGAGGCCTCGGTGTGCTGCCCGTTCGGCTTGAATGCCGCTGTGAGGGGGATAGGCAGACATTGTGATGGTGATGGTGTGGTGATGGGAGATATAAAAGCGAAGAACTTGGTGCCGAAAAAAGAGAGGACCGTTTTTCGGTGATAGAGAATGTAAAGAGAAGAGACGACACCAGAGCGAAAACGATCTGAACAAAACCCGGGCGACGATCCATTGAGGCCAGCGGGATTTGAGCGATAGTAGCCTCCGTGAACGAGGTGTGAGGTGAGGTTCAGGGATTTACTTTTCAGGGTTCTCGTTGAGGGTCGAGACCTGTCCGTAGTGTATTCGCCTTTGAATATCATCTGACCAGCGAAGAGAAGGGAAGATGGGAGGTTGAGGTTGAGGTAGAGGTAGACTTTGAAGGGAATTCGGTTTCGGTAAATGGAATCTAGGCACTATCTGCAATGACGATTGGCAAAGGACCAGGGAATTGTTGGGATGGGCAGCAGGAACTTTGCCCGCGCTTGTTGTCATTCGTTTGTCGGTGAACTTCTGGGTCCGAGTGAGGCCTAGGCTTCGAGCTTATATAGCGATCCGTCTCTGGGCTGCTATTTGGATTCTGATTATTTTCCCCGCTCAGCAGTAGATAAAGGTCCGTAGTCAGCATATGAAACGCTGAGATCTTAAGATACCTCAGTCACGAGAGCAACTCTGGTGAGAAATTGAGCATTCGAAGCCAGCCAAATCTTATCAGGATGAGTTGACCCATGTGGCTTGGTTGGTACTTACTCATCTTGCGAGCACTTCGGAGATCGGCCTGATGCGAAAACGAGATGCAAGGGGGTGTAAAAGCTTGGTTTCGACCCCAATTTCTTTCTGAGGCTCGTTCTCTTCTGAGAGATGACAAGATGGTGCTTGGGATGGTGGTCTGGCCAGATGGAGATTTCTGGATCTCGTGCTCTGAGAACCTGGTCGTGCTTGCGTCGTGTGAGAGTCATAGTGAACCGCTGTCCGGAATAGGTAGCTCGTAGAGTTATACTTTTAAGATCTTCATTCATCTGTAGCGGTTTCCAGACGTTGGACTTGGACACGGACGGATTGTGACTTTTCCATGGCTGAGAATCAAGCTCAGATCGTGGTTAGATCGTACCTCACAGCTAATAGAAGCTGACGGAAGTCTCGTGAAGCATCGTTGGTAATGAGATCAAATGTGGATGAATAGGAGCAGGATCCCGTAAGGTTTTCAAGTATATTGTGGTATAACATCGGTCTTGAGACCCTCAAATCTTTCTGCTTTTCATCCCTAGAAAGAAGGCTTCTAACCACCGTAGTAGCCACCACCAATAGGTCTTCCAATATATCCACCTCCAACTCTACCGCCAGTACGTCCACAAGCTCGCCTACCGAACCCGCCAGGCTCCATGTCTCTCGTTTCAAACTTGGCCTCGTCGACTTCGAAAGGGAACCTAGCGTTCTGTCTCTCGATCGGGTCTGCGCTGTCGTACAGGTCCGTCTTGAGAGGATCGACGGCACTGCCGACGGGGATGGAGTCCTCTTCGCTGAAGAACATGAAGAAGGTGTCTGCGGGCTTGGTGCCGTCGCAATTGGCGTCCGCCACCACGACGTTGTTTTGGTCGGCGCAGTAGGTTTTGGCGCCCTCGGCGACGCGGGCGACGAGGATGGCGGCGGCCAGGGATTTCAGGCCCGGCAGGGCGACGTGTTGCCGCTTCATTGCGAAAAGAATGTAGTTGATGTTTTGTCTCTCTTTGAGATGTAATGAATGTGAGAGAGTTGGGCTTTCTTTAAGGAGAGTCGCGAGCTGGAGAGAAGTCTTGCGGGCTCAGCTGTGGAAGGGAGACATCGGGGTTATAGATGTGGATGCTGAGCGATTCAGCCTGTCACTTATAATGCTGATCCTCACTTGTAGAAGATACGAGCCGCTCGCAACTCGAGAGTTGAAGTTCATAATACAATAAGCTTCAGTAAAAGTGGCAACCAAGTTTCCAAACTAGTCCCAGGGCTGTAATGCTCGCTTCATCATGGGAGCCTATACTTGGACTCATCAATTAGACACACCGGGGGAAATTGACTACGGAGCCTCCGAGTGCGGTTTCGTCGGCCTTTACTGACTACTCTCGACTTCCGTCGGGCCTTTCGGGAGCCGGTGGGTTAATTGTTGAGGCTGACAAGTGACCTCGTGATTAGCGTGGTAAGTTTGACGATTTCCCATGTATTCGTGCGAACAAGCCAACCGGTACGCTGTTCTCTAATGACGTTGGGCAGTGGAAACATGAGCACAGTCTTCTCGAACTTTGGGTTGAGCTCGAATAAGGTAAATCCGGCGCGCAACCGATCAATTAAGCTTTTGGCTACGCCTCTGCTCCAACCACTTACACGACTCAAGCAGGGGGGATCTTCATTTCCGAGTATACGTCGAACGACTCAAGGAAGGATTGCATTTGAATTGATTTCTAGGGACCCCATTCAAGGGTAATTGTGGCAACTCAAGACCTACAACTCTAATCCAAGAGTCAACTATTCGTCTTAATCATGGGATGAACACCAATCGTGCTAATCTCGTTCACGCACATATATACTTGTCGGCAAGCGCAACTGCTCTCGTGTGACGGATGCCCCTCTACCCTGATTCCCGTCTAGTCTTGAAAACCGTCCAAGTCTAAGGCATACCAAAGAGCAGACCCAACTTCACAGTCAGTTTCCACCCACCTCTCCACGCAAGAACACATGAGAAGAAAAAAACAACACCATTCCACAAAAAAAAAAAAAAAAACCCAATAACTAACACACAAACCACCCAACACAGATGCGTCTCGCCTCGATCCTCTCCGCCACAGCAGCGGCCATGGCTGTCTCCGTCCAAGCAGGAGGACAATGCGCCGACAGGACGGCCAGCGGAGACGCCATCACGGGGTTCCGCTTCTCGCCCGGCTGCAACACCTGGCAGTGGTACTCCCGCGACAAGGGCACGACCATCACGCTCAACCCGGACTGCCAGCTGCGGCAGGCGTGGCCGAACCCGACGGCCGTGGGTTACGTGTGCATTCGGAATAAGTCGGGCGGCAACAAGTGCTTCGCGGCGCCGACGGCCGCCGACCAGAACTTTTGCGGGATCCCGGCGGACTGGTGTAACAACATTGAAAACATGTGGGGGTGGGCGTAGTTGTTCCGGGAGAAAGAATAGAATTTCCGTGGATTATGCTGCTTGGTACCTTTTATGTTGTCACGCTCTTGACTACCTTGTGATACTTGTAACTCTGTTCAGCATAGCTCACGTCGATGTTCAACATCGCTTGGTCACCAACGATCCGTAAATCCCAGTCTATATTTTCCTTTTTTTCTCTCCTACGAGACGCAATCATGAACAATTTTAGGTAGCACTTGTGGCAGCCGTATTAACGGCCAGACCGCGAAAGCGCTCTTTTCATACCCTCTCATATCAATCTAAAGCAAGCGAACCGCTGACTTACAACCGACATGATTGCCAGCCATGGTCTCCGTCCAAGAGAACCTAAGTCGGCACAACCCATCTCAACCTAAACGTTGAGTTCAGCAGCGCCAGTGTTCTTAATGTACTCGGCGTAGGGCTTGATCTGCTCCTGGACGGGACCGCCCTCGCCGCAGTAGCGCTGGACCATGGTCGCGGAACGGCCGGTGAACAGGTTGGGGTCCAGAAGCTGGTCGATGGAGTCCCAGACGGGCTTGAAGTACTCGGTGGCCTTGATGCGCTCGATGAGGTCGTTCTTGCCGCCCTGCTTCTTGACGACGTCGGCGGCCTGGTGGGACAGGACGCGGATCTCCTCGTGGGCTTCCTGGCGCGAGCCGCCCTTGGCGACGATCTTCATGATGATGTTCTCGGTTGCCTTTTTTTCAGGATCATTAGCCGATCTGTGCATAACTTTCCAGGGGTATTTTGGGGCTTACCATGAAGGGGAGCTCTTCCATCACGTGGGCGCGGATGACCTCGGGGTAAATGACCTGCGGACTGTAAGCGGTTTATTCCATAATAGTATGAATAGGCAAGTGTGTTTGTGTGAGAGGGTGGAGCAGAAGGACTCACCAGGCCGGACGTGACGTTGTCGAGTCCGAGAAGGATGGCATCTGAGCGTGTTAGCACAACTTCTTCCGCACAGCGGTGGCTGTGGCGTCTAGAGCCGCTCAAAACTCACCGGCCAAGAGGAACATCTACTCCTGATTAGCGTCGCGTCTCTTTGCTTCTAGGCGGAGTTAACTTACCTCAGGGATGTCTATTCTGCGGATAGCAGAGTCATCGAGTGTTCGCTCAACTGACACGGTATTAGCACTTTGAGAAATCTCTCGGGAGCTTTGGGGCCTTGAGAGACTTACACCACTGGTCTGCGTACGTGTCCGCGAAGTTGGCGGGCAAAGAGCGCAGCTAGATGTGTCAGCATCAATACTCTTCCACGCTGTGTAGTCGACTAACCTTGCGTCCGAGAGAGCAGATGCGCTCGCTGCGCATGGGATTTCTAGTAATGGTGTCAGCTCGTTGAAATCATTCTGGTCTTTGCTGAAGGTCGCCTATGCGAGAATCCAAGTGGACACGCGTGCCATCTGTTGAGCCCCTGTAAAAGCGAAAAAGGGGAAAGAGAAAACGCGGGATGTTTCTACCTCTTGTACGCCCTATGTTGAAGTCAGCATTTCATTCCTTGTGCAAGTTAGGAATTACACATACATTGCTGAAGAACCAATTTGATCCTTCTCTGGAGACATCGTCAGCTCAATATTCAGACAAAAGCCGTATCTCCCCTTATTTGGACTCTTTACTTAGAAGTCCCTTGAGGATGCAAGGATTCCGGGGTAGGGGGGTCTATCAATGACTCACCAAAAGGCTCTTCCATCTCCTTGGAGTGGGCGAGGTGACGGATGTCATTGGTGATGTGCATGGCGGTCGCACCCAGGCCGCAAATAGCGTTGCTGACGTCGAGATCCGTCTTGCGGGTGTAAGTCTGCGTGGAGATGTCGTAGGTCTTGGGGAAGCCGGCCTTCTCACAGAGAAGATCGTTGAGCTTGTCGATCTTGGCACCATCGCCCTGGAAGATCTCCATGAAGGAAGCTTGGGTTCCGGTGGTGCCCATCGCACCACGGAAGGCCAAACGCTCGCGCGCGGTCTCGATGTTCTTCAAGTCCATGCACAAGTCCTGGATCCATTGTGCGGCGCGACGTCCCACGGTAATGAGCCTGGACGGATTTCAGCGTGTGTTACTTGTGCAGGAATAGGGCAGGGACTCACTGTGCAGCCTGGTAGTGGGTGAATCCCAGAGTTGCGAGCCTGTAGGTTGGGTTAGTCACTATCTTAAGACGGAGGACCTCGCAGACGGATCGTCCTAGGAGTTGTGCCGATCCAACTGCTCTACCGAGCCCTAACTTACTCCTTGTGCTGAAGAGCGAACTGGGAGAGGTTGTGAATGACCTTGGCCAGCTTGGGCAAGAGAAGGTCCATAGCATTTCTGCTGGGTGTTAGTCTTCAACCTCTGAAGTCTCATTTCCTGCATTACCTCATCAGGATGAGCTCTGCGTTGTCCTGTAGTATGTCAGTACTTATTCCAAATGAAGCCTCAGAGACTTTTTTATGTGTTCCAAAGTGTCTCGGGACCATAGAAGGCGGCTCCCTCAATGCGAGAGAACTTCAGGCAACTTACAGTGACGAAGCAGCTCGTTGCCCCTACACACAAGATTAGTACGAGGAAGATAGCAAACGTCGTGTGATTGACTGGATTCTTACCGAGGTGAATAATGCCGGCGGCGGCAGGCGCAACTTGGCCGAAAGCGTGAACGTCTGCGACCAAATGAGTCAACATTTTATCATGATCCGTATAAGAGCCTACGCCCAAACCACTTACGAGCCATCTGTGAAGAGCCGGTCAACATCTTGCAAGCTATTCACCAAAAAGCAACGAATTTACTCACCACGTCATGACGACGTCTCTTCTCCTCAACGGCAGCCACCTTGAAGTCCTCATCGGTCAATGTCAGGTGAGCTCTCATTTGCTCCAAAGCCTCCTCAGAGATTCCGTCGATGCCAAGCTCCTTTTCGCCTATAGCAACATGATCAGCAATGAGTTTCACTAGGACATTACGAGAGAGAATTCGTCACTCACTCTCGGCCAACCAAAGCCAGAGTTGTCTCCAGGTGGAGTGACGGTTGCGCTGGGAGAACAGCTTCTTGGCCTCCTCGCTGGCGTATCTGCCATCGAGGGGCGTCTTGTACGTGTCGAGTCCGGACATTTTGAGATTTGTGTGTGTGTGGTAATTTTGAGGATATTCACGCCTTACACAATGAAGGAAAAACTTCGCTATCAAATAGTCACCCTCAGAAAGTAAATGCACGAAAATTGTCCGGCGACTGGCACTGACATGACTTGGACCGATCGCGGGGTACTTTTTAATTGGGCAGGCGGTCGCAGATTTCGCAGTGCCCCGCTGCCCCACACAAGGCCACCGACCCCTGCATTCTGTCGCTGCCCCTCCATCGCATTTTCTGGGCTCTCTTACCTCATCAGGTACGACGAGCGGGTACTTTGGCTTGGCCCAAGCTTCCGCCATCGCCTTGTTCCTCTCCAGCCACCTCCAACCACAACAAGAACTACATACCAAGCCATCGCCAACCTGATCTCCTGTTATCGCGGTGCAGCTTTGGGATTCTCGAAGCCTTGGGATGCTAGTCTCGCTGCTTCTATTTGATCGTGTTTTGCAGGTCTCAGGGGAGCATTGCCTCCTCTCTAAAAGATGAGAACGCTCGATGAGGCCCAGTGAGTGCGAGTCGCACCATCACAGCTGTGACATCATGTTCACCGACTGATCCAACTCATAGGACACGATGGGCCGAGACATTAAAACATGCTGGGAATCTATCAGACTTGCAAAATGCAGTCAGATATAACGGGTCTTCGAGCCCGTGTATTTCGGGACTCCGATCAGTTTGTTGGAAGGTCGGTGTGAACTCGGAGATTGATCTCATCTCAACTTGGAGCTGACAGCTTCTTAGGCATTCCTGCTGATGCCAGACGTTGCATCGTCGGACTGGGTGCCTCGGCTTGCCGAATCGCGAAGTTTTTACTTAGAAAGAAGAGATCACTTCTTGAAGTTCATCAAGCACCCCGAGGAGCTGGCCCAGGTAGCCATTGATCCGTTGACGGACGATCCAAAGGTGAGTAGCATGAAGCCAGTGTCTCATTTGCAGATCTTTAGCTCACACGTAATTCAGTCACCGTGGAATACTGTTCGACAGGACGAGATTATTAGGGCTGAGATTGCACAAGACGTTCGCCGATTGCCAGATGAACCATTCTATCAAGAGGAGCAGACACAGACAATGATTATTGACGCATTGTTCGTGTATTGTAAGCTCCATCCCAATAGTGGTGGGTATCGCCAGGGTATGCATGAACTTCTTGCGCCCATTCTCTTTGTTGTCAACAAGGACGCGCTTGATGCCGCGGCTCTTTCGCCCATTGGCACCAATGTCGACACGAAGATGCTCTCCATGCTAGACTCTCTGTTCGTTGAGCATGACGCATTTGCTTTATTCTCTAAGATCATGGAAAGGGCAAGGGCGTTCTATGAAGTCCAAGACTCGATCTCAAGGGCAGTGATGGCGTCCGCTTCCAAAGACCGGGTGGAAACATCAGCCATCGTCGAGAAGAGCAAGCACATTCACGAGGTTTGTTTAGCTAAGGTCGATCCTGAGCTGGCCAATCATCTCAAAGACATTGAAATTTTGCCACAAATCTTCCTAATGTGAGTTGAACCGCATTCAGCCACGTTGGCTTTCGGCTTACACATTGCAGTCGCTGGATTCGTCTTCTCTTTGGACGGGAGTTTCCATTTGATGAAACGCTCGTGCTATGGGATACCCTCTTTGCGGTCGATCCGTCTCTCAGCCTGATAGATCTAATTTGCGTCGCTATGCTTCTTCGCATTCGCTGGAGTTGTGAGTATTCTCCAACGTGTCCCAACGTCACTCTGGCTGATCAATGCCAGTGCTCGAGGCGGACTACTCCGTTTGTTTGCAACTACTTCTCAAATATCCCGCTCCAGAAGCTCCCCACGGGCCGCATACATTTGTGGATGATGCGATGTATCTGAAAACACATCTCAATGTCTCCGGTGGCGTTTCGCTCCTCTTGAAGTACACCGGGAAAATGCCCAGCACAACACAATCTGCCAGCAGTTCGCGGCCCACGACCCCAATGGGCCAAGCTTTCTCATCTTTCAGAAATCGGACCAAGGGTGGCCAGTCACCAATTCCGTCTGCGAGTAGGTTTATCCAACAGCAAGGTGGTGTGGAAGCACTTTTCCAAGGCGCCGCCAAAAGCGTTTTGGAGCGAGGCGAGAAACTTGGCATCAATCAAGCGGTACGAGACGCCATGGGCGATATCAAGAGAAACATGCAAGGGCTAAACGAAGTACGCTATCCTCCTCGGATGACAAGGCAACTGCTTGGCGATGACTCTGCAGCACAGGCCATCGCTGCCATTGAGCAACGGAACAAACTGCTGGCCAACATGTTAGACGAGACAGTGACAAGTCTCAGGTCGTTGGCTACTACTAATCTAGAAGACAAGGTCAAGACGTTGGAGCTTGTCGAGGTAGCGGCTGCCAAGGTGCAATTTGTAAAAGTTTACTTGGAAGACCCGACAATTGAAGTACCCAATCTCGAGGGCTTCACCAGCCCACCGCCGGAGGAGGCAAATACCGAGACCCTGATGGAGATAGACGCAAACGACAGTGCTGTTCTAGGGGCGGCGGTTGCTGCAGAGAGTGTGGCAGGCGTCATTTCGACATTGTCTCTGGATGAGCAAGAAAAGACAAAATCTCCGACCTCGAAAACAGCCATTCCCGATATCATGGACATTACACAGGAGGCACCCGCCGACAAACCAGCTGAACATCTGTCAGCTCTGGTTTCAAGTCCCAAAGCTGACGCACCTCGCGTGAAGCCATTGGAACGACCTCAACCGCCTATTCCAACACGATCAACCCTCGCACAGTCTTCTTTCTCTTGGATGCTAGAACCAGACCAGTCGGCCCAGTCTGCCTCACCACCCAAGTTGCCCAAGTCGAGCTCAGGAGGTGCACACCGCAAGAAGCCGTCTGGGAATATCAGCAGGGAGCGCAACGCCTTTCTGTTCGGTGAGGTTGTCGCTGACTCCGAGGACCAGGCTATGCCAATCAAGTCTGACGACATATTCGGACTACAACCCATGGACAAGCCCAAGTCTCCCTTTCCGTGAGGATCACGAGTAGAGATTTAGATGAAGAAGTAATGATGATGAGCAGTGCTACAGGAGCCAGCTATACGATGACTACGATATCATGCTCGCGCAGAGATGCGACATTCTTGTTAGATCGAGAGAAACAAGGCCTTTACAATATTTGATTATCGCCAGACTTTCTTTCCCAGTGAAAAGATATGCAATTCTGTTGAACTATGATACATGATGGTGTCGACTAGATATTTGACAGGATAAGGCATCCTATCCTGTCCAAGTCGATGGTCAAAACAAATGTACATTGATCTCAACACCACACCTGAGATTTCTTTCACTTCCCGTGGAATTACACCAACGCAGAACCATTGACCAGGCAGATTGTGGTAACCATCGGTCCCTCAATGATCAACTTTGATGCTCGTCGTACCTCAATGACTAGGACGGCTGCCTTGGGTAGGTACTAGATATGCATCATTTGTGATGGGAAGGAGCGTCTTAGACGATAGTGTACACCTGGACCTTCCTCGACACAACCCGAGGATATGTAGTCCATCCTAATATGTGTTCTTGTCACTAGCACCCATCCGGATTGGCCGGGTGGTTTACACTCTGACGCAGAGAAGCTAAAACAAATACTCCAATGAAGCCGTGCTGGCCTGAGGGGCGCGCTGTCCGATTCCGGGCAGGGGCGTAAATTCTAGAGTCAGTATCCCCTAGCTCACATTCCTTTCGTTTTCTTTTTGTTCTTTTTACTGCGATGAAGTCGTCGTGACCTTTTCCACTGGTCATCTGGGGGCAAGGGCGTGGAGGCTTGTAAAAATCCCGAGGTCAAGGCGATATATGAGCTACTGATAGGTCTCCAGGTACTTCGCTGTGCCTGTATTGATGCGCCTCTCAGTAGACATCAGAAGAAAATCTAAACATGATCACGTCTGTGTACACTCCTGCTCTTATCCCCTCAAAGGATCAAAACCCTGATATTCCATACCCATATGCTGCACGCTTACAGAATCCACTCACTCGGAATATATACTCTGGGATAAGCGTCAAATTATGTCCTGTCACGATGCGATCAATGAGATGCTCGCCCGGTCTCCAGAGCTTTGCACCAGCAGACGGATCCCGCCTGACTCCCGGCTTCCTCCCGCGCCAGTGAAATGTGTGCCAACGGCGCTGACGAGGATGTCGTTCCTGCCTCCATTTTGATGGAGACGAAGGATCGTAGTGATAACCGAGAAAGGAGCCCGTTGGTTTAGTTACGCCTACTTGGTTGATGTTGGAACATGGATGGACCACTCCACCCCAGAACTAACCCAGTGTGGATAGATTCTTCACTCCTTTGCAGAACCAACAACGTCCTCCGATGCCACGACAAGTCTAGGTGAACCCGTCATCTTCAGCCTCCACTTTGTCGCATCGTTCCAACACAGACTCTACTTTTACCTCGGAGGTTTCGCCTCTCGCGGCATGTTATCCTCTCATACCTGGTGAGCCAAGACTACTTCTTCACAAACACTGCATGGACCGACGTCCAACACAAGTCACAAGGCCAATATCTAACCGACCCACTTGCATCCCAGAACAATGCTCAATGTTCGCCATTCCCATCTCTCCGGTCTTGGCGGTGGGGAGAGGTGTGGCTGTAGACCACGTCCGATTTAACGTCGAAAACACCACTGGGCCAAGCGCCGATGATTGTTGAAGACATGCACTGTCAGCACCTTGTTTGGCAGCATATCGCTTCGATGAAGCTTCCACGCCAAATGAGAATGGCCCCCACAGAGAGAGAGAGAGAGAGAGAACGCCAAGCCAAGCAAGCAAGCCGCCCGACACTTCGAGTACTGAACACCTTGGAAATGGAGTCTCCCGTGCCGGCGGTCACCAGCCCAAATTAGCTTCTGTCCCCAGAACCGCATGTTAGTTGCAAGAAATTATCTGGAGATACGCAGCCCTGCCGTCGTCGAGGGCAAACATGCAGCGGGTCGCCATCTTCACCGACCAATCCTTTGCCCGCCCCTGCAGGTCCACGAGGCCAGACAGAGAGGCAAGAAAGGAGCCAGGATATTGAAATGGGGAAGGAAGGGGGGAGCAAGGAGACCGTCGTCAAAGAAAGGGACGCTGCAGAT